TTTGGGCGGACATGGTGTCGCGCTGGGGAGACAACCACGGATCAGCAGTTCATCTGAACGCTATGACTCTCCGGAAACGAAGAAGTGTGAGTCTCCGGCGAAGCCGCAGCCGCACCGGAAGCGCCGTAAGAAGGCTGAACCTCGCTCAGGGGCGGACCAACACTCTTTTCGTGTTCGCCATTTGCTGACAGGAGACGAGACTGACGTCCACCCTTCGCGACTAAAATTCTACGCTGATAAGTCACTGTTGGTCAGCGAAGAGCTGCGAGATCACGACGCAGCTCAAGGTATTGTACTATCGGTGGAGAAATTGAAAGAGACGCGCTGGAATAAGGATAAAAAAGACTATGAAGTGCTGGTTAGCTGGAAAGGGCTCGAGTCGATCGAAGACTCGTGGGAATCAACCAAGCAGCTGAGCAGGGATATACCAGTGCTGCTGACAGAGTATGCAGCTACTACGAACAACAGAAAGTTCGAACAGCACATTGCCGCTGAAACAAAGCTCAAGCCTAGGTCAACAGACCAACCGTCACTGAAAGCACAACAGAACGTGCAGCACGAAGGACCGTGAGTGGACAAGTGCTTGGGAGGGCAGTGTAGTGGTGGATAATTCAATGGCAAGCCTTCACCCACTCACACAGGGCAAAGCACAGGAAGGCGATGCCGAGCTGGCTAGTTAGGGGTTAGGACAACACAGCCAAGGCATAGAGTGTGCTTGGCACTGAATGGACATTAGAGATTCTACTCTAGAAGACTCACAATAGACTTTTGGGTTTACCAGGAAGCGCCAGCTTCCCTAGCAGTAGTCTTATCGCTAAGACCTACTACACCTATATAGAATGTAAACGGATGGCGTGTGTTAGTTTAGAGAGCACCCACGACCAGTATTTGACGGCAGCTCACACACCAGCTCAGAATACGCATAAAAATCTTCAATAACTTCATCAATTCACTCTTCATTGCTTTGCATGTTCTCGACACGTTTTCACCATGTTTTCGCCATGGTTTCAAAAGTTTACTTTGTGCCAACTCTCAGCCATCTTCCTCAGTCTTCATTTTTCGTGTCGTCCTGGTAACCTGATTTGGGCAAGTTTCCATCACCGTAATATATTATGGCCATGTTTTACCATGCTGGTATTTTATTATCGGAAACATGGTAAACCATGGGCTAACATGGGAAATCTAAATATTTTCACTTACCTAAGCCTTTTTAAAAACATGGACGGTATGGGTCGCCAAATAAAAAGGGCTAGCTCATTTTAAATGTTAGCCACCTCCGGAGGTGGCTCACTTTGAAAGTAAACAGGTCGTTGTCAAAAATGTAAGCGTATTTCGAAGGGGGTTCTGAGCACGTTCTTTGCAATGTTCGACTGTCCCTAATAAAAGCACATCAAAATATTTTTTCTACGAGGTATGGAGACTTTCTAGTTGGCATAGTAGCATAGTCGCTAGTTATGTAGACACCGTCGTAGAGATCGTGTAGTATTTGCCAGGGCGTATCCGATCCTCATTTGGCATCCTTGCAAGCACTAGCGCCAGCAAAGTGAGGCAATTTCAACGTTTGCCTTCAGTGACACAACATACACAAGCCCCTGAACGATAAGGAGATTTATTACATATACAGTGAGACGTTGAAGTTTATAAGCATTGCTGCATAGAATCCGGCTGTCCTAGATCTCAGGCATTGGAATTTTTTTTGGTATATCCACCGGAAAAGTATTGCTACTAAAATGACCAACTGTTGCACCATCGAAATACAAATACTTAATTGCACAACGACCTGAAATTGCAATACTCAAGTGCAGGGTTAAACGACACTGCAATACCAAATTGCAAAATTACCTACAATATGCAACTGATACATTCCGTTTCTACCGTGTTGATTCCGCAGGTAGAGATTTTTGAATCCAGTCATCCATCGCTGTGCTCATGTAGATCTGGTGTAGATATGAACTTAATGCAAGTGAACACAACTTCGCCATCCGAGTCGCTGACCTCGTAAAAAAAAAGAACTTGGCAATGTCTGGAATCTGTCCTCGTACCCTGTTTTTAGTAAATGTCATGATCTCTAAACTAAATCTACTAGATTCTAGTAAATCTAGTTTAAAAGGGCAATTTCGGAGCAACTGCGTCCGGTTGCTTTAGGCATTGGCCCCGACGTGGTCAATTTTGTAAAATCAAATTTCGTAAAATCAAAATTCAGTTCTGAATAGTTTTTGTGACTGAATACGAATGCTGAAGGGGAACCGTTGCAGGCCAGGATTTTTTACATGGAAACACACTCATGTCCTCGTCCATGATCAAAATAAAATACATTACCGCTCTCCTATTTCCGAATTAAAAAAAATCGAAAGCATTTCATTTTATTTTGTGCCGCCTCCACAAAAGATGCTCCATGACGTGGTTACCGCTAATGCAGCCGGCGCTCGCGGACGCGCCGGCGAACGACGGCTCCTGTCCCGATGTCGAGGACCGGGCCTTTCCAATACGCTGTGGGGAGGCCAAGTGGCGCCACCTGGACCTCTAGTTGGAGGCGGAGATAGCCCTTTGGAAGGTGGAGAGAGCAAAACCGTCCAGAATCGCAACAGTGACGGGGAAATGGATGAATCAGAAGGTCAGGAGAGGCGAAGGAATATGTAGAGGCGGGGCATCCATCGGAAACAGATGGAGCGGACGATGATGACGCTGCAATTACGTCTGTGTACCCGCCGGTGAAGTATCACGGCAGTTGGAAAGCTTGGCAAGAATATTTTGAGGACTACTGCCAACGGACGCTGCAAGTAATACCAGTAAAGGAGACCATGTCCAGAGCAGAACGCAACAAGAGGCTCAAGATAACGAAAAAGGGTAAAGGCGAGTCCCAGTTTGTGCCCGACGGCTACGACCCGTACCAGCGGACGTATATTTCCACTCATGAATGGAGGAAAAGGAAGTCCCGCAGCGAAGGAAGCCGTCCCAGACAGCATATCCGTCTTACGAATTCCCAGTTTCGTTTCGTGGTACAGTAAAATCTCGCTCGTGGAAAATTACAGGTCAAGAATGTTTTTTTTGGCACAATCACCAAGTTTCTCCTGACGTGATCGCGCAAAACAACCCCATCCAGTTCGACGGGTGTACATGTGCTGGAAGTTTCTCTGTAAGGCCTTTCTTGAATAGGAGTGACAAATCGCTCACGAAACGTCGCGTCGAGTTATTTTTCTATTTGCTGAAGGCTCGTCTACTTCCTTTGAAAGACGCTTCTGATGCAGCAACACCCGACGCAGACGACGACGAGAAAAAAAAACGAAGGCCCCAAGCGATGAAGACAGTAGGAACAATGACGAAGAAATCCCTTCCATCATTATCGCGACGTCGACAAGCTAATTGTGGTGGTTGTAAGTCTCGCTTGCATTAACTACATTTAATACATGTTTTTAACTTCATTGAATTCAAGTTTGCTTTACCTTGCAACTCAGTAAATCTGACATCGAGCTTTTCGTAGAAGCAGCATTGATAGGGCTTCGTCGTTGTGAGAAAGATCTCTTCGATCGCATTTGCAGACAGGAATCCAGACTTCAAGTCGGTTGCCAGGATTAAATCATGGCCAAATACCTGATTTATCATGCTAAATGGTATATTCATTACAGTACGAATCTGTGACCAGGACTTACAGTAGTCCTGGATACAACAGGATTAAATCCTGGTTATACGACAGCCCCACGTTTATATCTTCCCACGTCCTCAACAAATCTTCTCGTACATGAATATTTATTTAAGTTAGATTGTGTCGCCAGGATTATTCTTGACTATTTACATGAATGATTCCACGTCGATAATCCTAGCCTCGAACAGCCGCCATGCTGAAGCCAAGCCTCACGCGGTGCAAGCCGTACCAGGCCATTGGCTTCTTGCAGGATCTTGGGTGACTTTGTAAGTACACCAGGACGCTCATCAGTGATGCTCGCGGGTCTGGGCTATTCACGAAATTAAATGCTGAAAGCAAGTGCACGAAAGTGCACAAAACCCTTTTGTGCTGCACGAAAGTTTTTTTTTTTTTCAATACGAAAAGCCCTTGCGGGAATCGCACCGAGGCAGTCTGGAAGCAGCTTAGAGTATGCTAGGATTTACAGAGCCTTGGCCGAGGGCTGGGTGGGGGGGGGGTCGATACTGTATGGCATGTGGAACAGAAGAAACTATTAGAGTTTCTTCGGTCGTGAAGTGGATCTGCTGAAATTGTCGCCTACAGACCGAATGGTTCCGTTGCTGGACATCCGGACCTAAGAAAGTGTGGGGAGTTCGTCTCGGGCTCCTTGTAGCTCGCAACATGCCTCAAGTCGCAGTTATTGAACATGAACTAGCTCACGCTCACGATTACTTAACCCTTTGGTTACTTAAGTACTCGAGTGTGGCTCTGCTGTCTTGTGTTGCTTGCGGTTTTCCTTCTTCTGTGCCCGTCGCTTTCCTCGACCCTTACGCAGTAGGTCGTCTGCAAGTCGTTCCAGGATCTGGTGCAGAGTAAAATGGGGTAGCGAGCACCCTCCTGGGGGTTTAAAACAATGAACTGGTGCGTGTACGTCGGTGACGCTCGACACAGCAGGCGGCGTCTTGTCTTCTCCGCAGAAGGCGTAGTGCAGTGTCACCCACTTCGGTCGATTCAGAATCTCAAAGTTGGCGCGCGTCGCCTTCTTCAGCACCTTCGTGTAGTTCTCAAAGCCCCATCGTTTCGCCTTCCCTGGTTTCTTTAAGCTTGCCGTTTGTTGCTCTGGAAGACGCAAGTGAGCGAGGTCACAGCCTTCGCCCTTGGAAACACTCGGACACATTCCCTCCAGAAAGAAAGGAAGACAGTACATGCCTGTCTGGTACGTGTACGGGATACGGTCACGGAGATTCCACGACGGAAGAACGGGACATACAGTAGACACCACGTCGGGCGTCGATAACGCGGACGCTGGTTCAGTACTCGCAGTCGTTGGCATGAAGCTGTACAAATCCACGACTGTCGACTCGGTGGCAGCTTCGGCAGCAGCCATCAGGACTTCCACCCCGCCACGTTTCTTGCCAAACGTGCTTTGGCCGTATCCGTCTTGTGGTCGCAAAAGATAATTCCCCACAGGGACATCTCCCAATGTTGCAAACAGCGTCGCAAGCCACTGAAATTTCACGGAAGGACTATTCAGCATTAAAAAATAATTAGTTCCATGTAAAAAAAAAAACATTTCAGCGACCTACTCAAAGTACTCGAGGGGGAGTGATTGCTGGGCACTGTCTCCGTAGACGAGCGACGCAGGAGAATAATTCTTCCACGAGGTAACCGCGTCGTTCTTGGGATCCACTCGAGCCACTAGAACGGCTGAACCACCTCGAAGCCATGAATGCAGCCAGAAGCGACATCTCTCGCTCGTTGTCAGCAGTTCTTCAATTCCCAGTAAATGATAATCTGGCTTCACAAACACGCTCAACGGCGCCGTCGTGGTCTGCTGATCTTGTGATGAACTCTCCGACGATGTAGGTACAACCACGCCTACGTGTGTGGTACTGCGCACAAGAATCCGCTTGTCATCAAGTTGCCAGACATGATACGCTGTTCGTCCGCCTGTTGATCCTCCAACAACAGATTCACTCTAGATGAATAGAAGTTAGACTTTTTTATGCTTGGCTTTGACTTAAACGCAGCAATCTCACCTCAAAGCGGGACAGTAATGCAGCGCGTCCAGCTTCCGTTACTTTGTCTCGCGTGCTTGGACTGCTTCCTGGCAATGGACGGTCCAGAAAGAGCCGCTTTTTCGTAATCGCCGCTCCATCGCGAATGATTGCTCGGCTTTTCAAGGGGATCCCCCACCCTACAGGCTGCATGGTCCACACGTGTCAGTACTTTTAGTGAGTTAGTACAGAAAAATCTATCGTAAACGTACCACGTGGGCGAAGCGAGTGGACGTATCGCTGTCAAAGAGAGTGACCAAAGTGGACGAAGAGATGGCTACATCGCAGTCGTACTTCTCCATCAACTGTTCAGCCTGAGGATCCGCCGAAATGGCTTGGCGAGGAGACACAACGTTCAGCCCTCCGCTATCACCCACAGCGTGTAGAAGCGGCTGACCGGCCACAAGTTTGCGCAGGTCAATGACGCAACACGTGCCTCGAGCAGCGACCTCTTTTGCCGTCGCCACAATAGAGCCATTTCCATCAGGAGCACTGCCACTAGGCAGCTTAACTGCCACGCATGGCTCAAACCATCGTGGATACAGACGATAGATGTCGTTCCAACACTGCGTCAACATCGCATTGTACTGCAAACACTCAGCATTCACTCAATTAGCACCATCATTCCTCATCAACTCACTGCACCATCACACTCACCCACGACTTCACAGCTGGCGGTATGTGCGCCTCGTTAAAAGCACATTCAGCAGCCAGGCTTCTCGCCATCATCCTGCAAAAACCCACTTGTTCCAACTCAACCTCCGCTTTCATTTGCTGCCACTGTGTAGCCTCATCTTGGGAGAGAGCCAGCACCTCTGGAAGTCCACGCTACTCTCCAAGGACAACCATTCCGTCAGCTTTTCCTTCTCTATTACCAGTAAAAAAATATGTATTATGTACCTGTTGAGCTTGGAAGAGCTTGCGCTGCAGCATGAGGTACCGTTCATGTTGAACGACGGAGAAGCCAGAGACCCTTCGACGCGCATTGTCAAGCTCCAAAATCTTCTCCGGAGCTCGAATCCGACGGCTTTCAATGGCCTCAACAAGTAGTTTTACCAGATGTTTGGACTGCTGCTTGATTTGCATTGCTGCAGAGCGTTTTGAGGTAGAATTCGGCTCATTAACAGGCGTGAGAATGGTCCGTCGACGGGTCTCCAGTGCTTCATAAAGGCTCGACTCGTGGGCATCGCCACGGACGGAAAATGATGCAAAGTCATTGGCAGTGAAGAACGCGGGGCTCTCGATGTCGTTACAGTCTTCCGCGCGGCGCTTTCGGCCTCCAAGCAGGCGACGTGGGGTGGCGAACGGATTTACAATTGTGTCCATTGCTGAATTGCTGAAAAGAGACGTTGTGTTTATTTGGCCAATCATAATTTCTGAATTTGGCAATTTACAGATACATCTAGATTGCACTTTATGAAAGTGATAATGCTGGGATGAATTCGATAAGTGGTCAGTCTGGACGAGAAAGAAGGCACTCGGAAGAAATCCGTCACTTAAAATGCGTTCTTAGAAACAGGTTTGTACATGCAGTATAGTACTCTGGACAATTTTATTACATTGGCGGTGCGCCCCCGCCCCCCGATAGTTCTGTGATAAGTGTTGCGTGAATGTTGCTAGGAAGCCCAATCCGAGAAGTCGGCACCGGAATTGGCATCCGCAGCAGTGGTAAAATTTACCACTGGCAATAAGCTAGTGCAAGTTTTGGATGCTTCGTATAATTATCACAGGGTCGTAATATCTCCAGCTCGTTACTTATCAACGCCACCTTATCCAGAATACTCTCAGCAAGTGGCCCAATAGCGATTCTTGTCGCTTTCGCTTAAACCAACTTGTATTGGCTGTACATGCTGCAACACCTCGTGGCTTCTTTTTTTTTATGCGCATGAAGCAGTCGTCGTCTCTCTCGGCTGCACTTTGGGCCATTCTTTTATTGCTTGTCTGTCCCAACGGTACGATTAAATAATTCATTTTTTTTCTTTAAGTCATAAATATTTGTATTTACAACAATTTTAACTTTTTTTCAGAACGAGCACAAAAAATCAACTGCCCTCCCGTTGTAAGCTACGTGTAGTTTAAGCAAGAGGCTGGCACAATATAACTATGTTGCTAGAAATGTACCAGTCTCAGTTAACCAAGTAATGCTATGTCCATACCTACTTAGTCACTTGAGAAAATTGAAAAACGGATGTCTGGTACTACGTCCTATTTCACCACCACTTAGTTGGTACTGAACACGCAGATAGTCTGCGTTTTTACGTTTATATGCAGTAGTATATTTACAAGTTTTATTTATTATAAGTCCAATGTTATTGGTACAAAAGATCGAGATTTTCAGTACTACGCACTGAATTACAAACAAACCAAAAATTAGTACTCCAGTAGCATTGTATTTGTGAGCGATTGTTGTGTCGCTACCAAAGAAAATGTAGAAGTAAGATGTATTGAGTGTTGGTAATATACCTATTCACTATTGTTTCCTATTCATGCTCCATGAGAGGTCATCGTGTTGCAGTTGCACGTTGCCAGCTTCTGGAGTGCTGCTGTTGCTGGGCACGATCCCAGTAACGGCAGTGCTCTGTAGCTACTGCTACAACACTCCCCCCCCCGAAACTTTTGCTGAAATGCAAGCGACTTACTCATGAGTCGCTGCTCAATCCACCAGTGTTCTTGCTAGGCGATATAAAGCGCGTTACGAACTGCTCGCACGGTTTTTGCTTTCCGTGTTCACGAGCGAACGCCTTCACGACCACTGGTACATCCTGCAACAAAGCCTGCCGGCTCTCATGAGTCTTCAATAGCGTCAAGGCCACGCCAATGCACGTTGATCTCATGTCGCTTCTCTTGCTGATTGTAGCGAGCCTTAAGTAAGGTGTCCACCACATGCCCTTCGCTGTTGTGTGCAATATGCAGCAAACGATCCTCGGTCACGTCAAGAGAGGAGTCCGCGTAAAATTTTGGCGGCTAGCATGGGCCTCTTTGCGTTGACCCATAATCAAGTTTTGGATCGGACAGATTCAATTTGACACGGTGCCAACCACCTGTGCCGAGCCAAACCACTTTACACGCAATTTGCTGCGTGTGTGCTGCCAAACGTCTGCGTACAATATGAAATCTTCAACCTTAAATTCGGCCATGGCAGTGCCTTGTTTTTTGTCATGACCTTTGCGCCCCGCCGCTCTGGTGGTGGAATTTGATTGTCGAGTTCGTTTGTGCATGTCTGCTAAAGCTTGCTGCAGCTTGGCAATATGTTTTCTCTGCGTGTTCTTTATCTTCTCTACTGTAGTCCGTTGTAATGGTCCCGGAACAGCAATAAGGTCGCCTAGGCCCATCGCCTTTAGACCCGTCATCGCCGTCACAGGCGCCACACCACCCAGTGATGGAGATGGCGCGTTGTTTAATACTAACTGTATAATTTAAAAGACCTGCGGCCACTCTTTAGGTTGTAATTTCCAATCGGAGAGAAGAGCCCGGCAACAGCGCAGGATTTCTCTCATTACTACCTCCATGGTACAATTTCCCACGGGCACCGGGCGGTTGTAACGTGGTGGTACGCTCCAAGTACATGTTGAAGCGCTTCTGTCGTCTTGTTCTTGAAAATGTGTCCCCTGGTCACATACCCAGGTTCGACGCACTCCAAAGCGAGCAAGCCAGTCGAGCAGAGCAGTGAAAGTAGTATCCGCATCCGCCGTCTTGCAAAGAACTAGCCACACGAAGTTGGACGCGTCGTCTTTGATGACCAGTACGTAGGTCTGACCCACGTCACTTTCCCCCATGTACAAGAAACCCCAGTGATTTAACTCGTTAGGTTGCTCGGCGTGCATAGCCTCACCCAACATGCGCTGTTGAGGAGAACCGCTTAGCGTACTCGCGCAGTGCAAACAACGCTTGACGACATTCTCCACGTCTTGGTTCATCCCTTTTCACACAAAACCGCTCACTAATCTGCTGTAAAGTCACCCCACTGCCTCTGTGACCAGCGATTCCAAAGTGCTCAGCTACACAAACCCGCATTTCCAGGGCAGCATCGTCGGGAATCCAGATCCTGCCTTTTATGTCTTTCGAAGAGAATCCTTCTTTGACTGGGTAAAACCTGGCGGTGGAGGGGCCACACTCTGCGCTGAAACAATCTCCGTCAATGTTGGCCACACAAAGGTATCGTCGAGCTATGGTAAGAACGGTAATGGTACCTGTCTAATAGCGCAAATAGTCTTGCGTGTAGAGCCCCATCTCGATAATAGGTCCGCCCACACATTCTCGTCTCCAGAGATGTCATGAATCTTATACTTGTAGCCCATCTGCAGAAGAGACCAACGGTGGAGCTTATCCGCTGTGTATTTAGGCACTGAGCTCGACACACTATGAGGATCAAAGAAAAACCTTACATTCCGATGATCCGTGAACAGCGTAAAGCCGTCGTGCCGGTGGGGTAGGTAGTCAGCACGTCGACACCTTTCGACAATGACGTAAACTTCTTTTTCAACAATCGCCCACCGCCGCGCTTCACCTGTAAATGAGCCGCTCAACATCATAAGCGGCTGATGTTCTTGTTCACTCAGCGGCCTATGCACCTGGTCGCGTGGAATCTGCGTGATCACGACACCTCAGTGCTCGTCACTGGCATCCGTGTACACCGAAAGACGTTTTTCCAGGTCCGAATGAGCTAACTGCAGCGCCTGTTGTAACGCTTCCTTGCATCGACCCAGACAATCATTTTCCACCTCACTCCAGTCCACATCGGCAAGCAGGACCGGTCGCACTTGCGATTTTTTGCGGCCACCAGCTCGCTCGTACACCCTCTCCATGCACTACGTCAAAGAATCAATCAGCTTATTGAACGCAGCTATTGAAGCTTACATCCATTAAGTGCACAGACGAACTGTTGTAGCTCCTGACCTGTTGTTGGTGCAGGAAGATTCGTGAGAGCATCGATCCGATCCGGATCATGTCGAACTCCATCACCGGACACGACACACCCACACCACAACGCCTCGCGCTGATAAAACTGCGTTTCTTTTAATTCAATTTGAGTCCCTTGTCAGCACAAATTGTCAATACCTTCTTCAGTAATGCAAGTTATTCTTCATCACTCCCGCTGTATCCAAGCAAGTTATCAATCCAGATCATTAAACCGCTGTTGAAAATCTCAGAGAACAGTTCGTGCACTGTTGATTGAGCGTACGCCACACTATTGGTTCCGCACATCAACACTCGTGTCGGTGTGATCACTCCATCGTCAGTCAGAATTGTGTAGATATCCTCACACCTCAAAGTCATAGCAAACTGCAAAAATACCTTAAGGGAATCGAGCGAAAAATATCTAGATGAGTCTCGAAGTTGCTCAAATACCACCTCCAGTCTCGGCATTGGCCAAACAATTTGCTCGACACAGGCATTTGGGCCTCGAACGTCGACAGTCATGCGGTGACTTCCAGCCTCTGTCATGTTGACGACCTGTGGAGGCGAAAACCACTTGCTCTTCGGGTTCCGATAACACAAGCCAGCCACAATCAGCTCGTCAACGTGTTTCGTTAGGAATTCCCGATGCCCCGGAGAATTCCTTTTTGCTTTCCACTACACCAGGCTTTTAGGTCACCTCCATGGGTGGCATATCCACTGAAGGATCGCGGCCAATCAAGATGCAAAAGACGTTAGAGCATCTCCACCCAAAGCTCGCTATCTCTATCACTAAACCGACGTTTGGCGCGGCGAAACAAATAAATTTCAAGTTTAGCGAGGCATGTACACACCCATGACTCGCTAAAGTGATCTTCAAATTTGAACAGTCGTCGAAGTTCTTCGCAAACTGCAGGGAGAACTATGGATTAAAGACAGCGTATTCAACCAGTCCTTGCTATCCTACACGATGAGGTCAACGATGACTACGGGGATGATGAAGTAGCAGCTGTAGCCGGCGTTTGTGTTGCTGTGGCTGCAGGGACAGAGCCACCGGCTAAAAAACGAAGAGGGGGGTCGCAGCCTGGAAAAAGCCCAAATATTGACCGTGGACGTGCAGCTGCGGACCAGCTACTGTACACAGACTACTTTGCTCCAAGACCTCTGTTTCCAGAAGCTCTGTTTCGTCGTCGTTTTCGAATGTCTCGTCGTTTGTTTCATCGAGTCGTCAAAAAGGTAGCTGTGGCTGACACTTATTTCACACAACGGCCGGATGCACGAGGTGTTCTTGGCTTTTCACCCCGTCAAAAAGTAACTGCTGCGCTACGCATGCTTTGCTACGGAATAGCTGCCGACGCAACAGATGAATACATCCGCATTGCAGAATCTACTGCTATGGAGAGTCTAAAGCGCTTTGCAAAGGCAGTGATCAAGTGCTTTGGTGAGGAGTACCTACGAGAACCTACTGCTAACGATATTGCCCGCCACACTGCCATCAATGCCAGCCGTGGTTTTCCTGGTATGTTCGGGTCGCTGGATTGTACTCACTGGATCTGGAAAAATTGCCCTTCGGGTTGGCACGGTATGTTTCAAGACCGTGACGGAAACGTTTCTATGATTTTGGAGGCGGTCGCTACGAAAGACTTATGGATTTGGCATTCATTTGTAGGTCTTCCTGGATCTAACAATGACATCAATGTAGTGGATAGGCCCCCCCTGATTGTAAACTGGCTTAAAGGGAGCGCTCCCAATTTCGAGTTCGAGGTCAATGGGAACAAATACAGCATGGCCTAATTGTTGTGCGACGGTATTTACCCAAATTGGTCTGTGTTTGTGAAGTCGATTAGACAACCCGATTCACCGAAAGAGAAGCATTACGCCGGCGCTCAAGAAAGTGTTATAAAGGATGTGGAACGTTGTTTTGGTGTTTTGAAGGGAAGGTTCGGTATACTAGCACAACCGGCACGCTTGTGGGATGACGATATCCTTTTTGTATTGTATGGCGATGCTGTGTTGCTCTTCATAATATGATAATCGAGGACGAGCGCGACGAAGACGAGGACCCTTACATACAATCAGTAGAAACTCTGTCTGGTGCGCAAAGTATACTTCCATTCGATGATCTACTCGCAGGTATCTCCCGCATACAAAACCACGCTGCTCACGCCCAGCTGCAAAATGACATTGTTGAGCATCAATGGAATATCAGGTAGAACGGTAAAAGCAAAACACTCTTCTTACCAATGTAACACTGTGAAAAAAAACTAAGCAGCTGCAGTATAAACGCCGAGCTCTGTATCATCTTGATCATCACAGCCGTCACCACTTCCATCAAGTACTGAGGCTTCCGCTACTACAGTTTCTCTCGACGACGCATGGGATCTCTCAAGTCTTCCAAGAACTTGACGACGACGCAGCTCAAAGAAGCGCCGAGAGTCAGGGTCCAATTCGTCAAGACATACTGTAAACAGTGCCACGTCACAAGCGTCTTGAATGGCGCGTGCTCGCTTTTTGCTTGCCGCTGCAATCTCTGCGTTTGCCTTGGCCAATTCTGCAATTGAGCTGGAGGTGGAGGCAACTGCCTTTGCTTCCTCCTTTGATGCCTTTCTGCCTTGGGGGCGCGCGCCACGAGCCGTACTCTCGCTGTTAATTGCGTCACCCCCCGTTGTTGTGCCTTGACTATCATGAACGGAAGTCCACAGCGGTTCGCTGCGCAGGATTCGCCAGCAATGCAGTAGCTTGAACGGCTTGGTCGCTGTCACGCCATCGCGATCCTCCATCCTCATGTAGATCTGCTGTGCGTCTTGGATCTCGTCTTCAAAGCTCGCTCCAGACCGGCGCTCTACCTTGTCCATCGCTGCCGAGAAAAGCTTAGCTTGGCCAGAGATCTTCGACCACTTGCACTCCAACGAACGAATTTCTCTCACTACCGATCCTGCTGGCCGGGCAGCCGTGAAATGCTCGTGGATGCGTTTCCAGAACGTAGCAGAGCTCTGGTCTGTCCCCGTTCTCGGGTCCTCGCTAATCTTCAGGTACGACATGCATAGCTGGATCTCATCCTCCTCAACAAAATTAGATATGCGAGGCATCGATGCTCTTAATGCGATTTTGCCGCTCAAAGTTTCTGTGTTCTGCGGCTGTTCAGTTAGCGAGGAGCTCGCGATCCTCGCCAAACGGGGACGAATTTGGCGCGAAGAGACGCAATTTGGCGAGGGATCGCAGCGTCGATAGCGATAGAGATGGTCCAGTGGGAGATAAATAACTGTTCCACGTAATTTTCGCGCCAAATCGCTTTAGCGATAGCGACGGCGCGTTCTGGTGGAGATGCTCTTAATGAACACTAATTCCTGAGCAAATTCAGCTATTACGCCAAGCCGACGGGCTTTGTCCACTTTTTACGAGAGGATTGTCTTGACCTCATCTCGCTCGGTTTTGCTATCACTTCTGAGTTCAGGAAAACACGCGCGGTATTCCTCTTCCCCTATAACCCGTTCTCCCTCCGTGGCTGCTGGAGTCTCCATGGCCCCAGCGCATGCGAGAATGCTTGCCATACCACTACCAGGGTTATTGTCCACGTCTGCCATATCCCAATCAGCACTAACTTGCTGTGCAGTAGCTAACCGTTTTCCAGGACTGTAACCTAGCTTCTCCATAACCCACTTTGACAAGAGTATATCTCCCGCACACAGTGGTAGGCTACACTCTGTAGCCCAGCAGATAACATTTCGAATAACTAAGGGGCTTCCCGAAGTCGAAAACAATAAAGCCAGCTTCACTTTGCTCTTTACTGGCACGGGTTTATCTGCAACTCCCATCACCGCCGCTTCCCCAGTAACATCTTGCTGATTTAACCACGCTCCTTTTGCTACCAGTCTCTTCAGTCGTTTCGTAGTGACCCCCGAGACCTCTGCAGCACTATCTGGGGTGAATTCAGTCTTTAAAATGCCCATGTCCGTGCACGGGATTGTAGACGACAGCGCCATCATCTAAGAATTCACCGGGGTCATCGCCTTGACCGGTTTCAAGATTTTTTTTCCCTGTAGTCGCTTCATAAATCGCCTTAGCCTCCAGTGGACTCGAGATATTGGGACACTGAAACACTCCATGAGTCGGGTCACCACACTTGAAGCATTTCTTCGGCGATTTACTCTGGATAGTTTTCTGCTTTGAGCTACCATCACCTTTCTTTTGTTGCCGATCGTCAGAACTTTGAGCTTTACTAAAGTCCTAAGACCGTCCGAAACTTCGCTTCCCTTGCATTTGTTGCCGAGCTGGCTTATTACTTCCCTTCGGTTGAGGCTGAGCCGAAACATGCGCCTCACAACACATAAGCCTTCTAATTCACCCCGCAGCCACTTCTGAAAAGTAGCTAGGTTCGACTTGGTTGACTTGTGGCGTTGTCGGCACAAGTGGTCTTTCACTGCCACCTTAAACGGTGGAGGCCGCAGTGCATCCACCAAATAACCCACGACCTTTTTTGGCTCAGTATGTACGATGTTGAGGCGGTCAATGATTTCGTAGAATTCTGCCATCAAACAAGAAAGTCTGGACTCAGCATCCTGCAACTTAATGTCCATGCAAAGGGCTCTGACCTCTTTTTCCAGAGTCTTATAAGCTGTATTATCTGGTATACGTGCTGTCAAAGCATTATCTCCACTCGGCCTCTGTGGTGTCCTTCTCCTCCTTGAAAGGCTCAAATTCACAAATTCGAACCATAGTGCCTTGCCCGATGCAAGCACTAAGAGGCATCACGACGAACTCGGCCTGGGCTCCTTGGCTCAATGTTTGAATGCGCCGCTTGTAGATCGCGTAACTATCCGTAAAGTCTTGTTTTAGCTTCCTCTATAGATGGGCGGTACAGGTAAATTCGTTCCTGCTGCCATAGTGACAGCCGCCGGTTCCGATGATCGGTTTTTCGGTGATGATGCTGCACCTTCGGCGAACGTACCCCACCGAGCCTTTAAATGCGGCGGAACGGCTTCTGCCAAGCTTTCGAGTATCTGGCCTTGAAGGCCAACCGCTTTTCCGCCTCTCTCAGTGCCTTGTACTGCTCCTCCAAGTACTGGCGATGTTCGTCCATTTGACGACGCATTTCCTGCTGTTGTTTGATCAGAGCCATTTGTCGATCATTCTGCGCTTGCAAGTACCCGAAAGTCTGTGCCGCAAGTTGATTTTGCCGACGTTGCACCTGGTCGATTTGATCAGCAGCTCTCGGATGTGCTGCCGCAGAATGCTGTGCCAGGGCTTCTACTTGACGTCTCGTCTCACTCCCTAGAATTACCGCCGTCCTGGTGGTTGTCTCCTACGTCAGTCGCAGCTCGAGCTCTGTCCTGTGAGGCAGTGGAGGATAGACAGCGATGGGCCTCCCACCGGTGGAGACTGGCATCATCGCTTCGTCCGCTTCTAACATAATGGGCGCGACTTCCCAGCTAATGAATTCTTTGTTGTGTCGCTACCAATGAAAATGTAGAAGTAAGATGTAATGAGGTTTTGGTAATATACCTATTCATGCTTGTTTCCTATTCGTGCTCCATGAGAGGTCACCGGTTGCACAACTGCCGTGTTGCAGCTGCACGCTGCCAACTTCTGGATGGCTACTGTTGCTGGGCACGATTCCAGTAACGGCAGTGCTCTGTAGCTACTGCCACAACAGCGCTGTTCTAAATTTAAGAACGAGTTAAAATAATCGCACTGTGAGTTGCGTTCGTTTATACTAGCAGTACCTTTAGCCCTCACCGGATTAATTTCACGGTATGCATAGCTCGCGTTTTGTTATTTCGCTCGACATTCGGCTTACATTTCGCTGAAAGCTGATTGTTAATTAAATGTTGCAGTCTGGTTGACCATGATACCAGACTTTCTGGTTGTAAGGGAGGAGTCTTTCGCTCTAATGACCATGAATCGAGGCGAAACGCTCGCATAACAAATGCTACATCACTTAAAATAATTTTCTTATTCACTGTGGCAATGAATTGATCATGAAGTCCCAATGGGTGGGGGCCACAAGCTACGATAACAAGAATTAGCATCAGAGCGGATCGATCGATCCTGGGTTGGGAGACCACCTGTAACGGGGTAAGAGATACCGTTACTAGCTTACACTATAGTGCGGAGGAAGCTCGCAATAATAAAACCAAGTCTTAGGTTTGTGTCAAATTCAACTCTGATTTATTTAGGACCAGGGCGGCTACCCCTGGCCTCGTGTGAACCACTCAAACACATGTCTATATCTGATTGGTCAATAAGTGAGTCTGGCTCCTCACTATCAACCAATCAGATGATGACACTTTGGCACACGCTACCCGTGTGCCACTTTACCTACTTATGTAATAACTAAAGAAATATCTACCTACTTATGTAATTGGAGTTGGGCCCATTACATCACCCTTCTCTCTAAGTTGCGTTTACGCAACATAAGCGCACGGAACACATTTTAAGAAAACTCGAAAACCGACAAGGCGGAGACATCGGAGACAGCGCGAAGGGCGGCAGCGCCAGCGCGTCGCTGGCGGTGGTAACAAGGGCAAGCCCAGGGTCGACAGGTGCGCCACAAGCTCTGGATGTACTGCGAGGACCGTCACTGTGCGTCTCGGCTCCCAAGACGCACATCGACGAAGTGCCCAGCGTACATGCGACTTAGAAGACTCCGAGCTGGAGGCACTTGGATCACAGACATGAGGAACCTCACGAAGCCGACTTCGTGGCGCAATGGTCAATGCATGGGGCTTCCAGTCAGGACGCCAGGGTTCGATTCCCACCAGGCGCATTCACTCACGCACACGCGAGTGTTATTTTTGCTGCCAGAACGGAATAGCTTCGAACATCTCGAAGACATGAGACTTGTCGACGGAAGTCAACCACTTAGGCAACCCAAGTGAGCATCACGTTGTCACCGCTGGTGTCACCAGAATCAGGTACTTGTTGGCCACCGTGTCGCCGCTGGTAATCGAAGTCGTTTCGGCGCCGTCGTAGCGTGTCGGGTTGCCAACCCACTGGTCACCGGTTCTAAGTCGCCGGTTGTTTCTTGTTTTCATTCTTGCACTGACAAGTTGTATCAGTGTTCGCCGCGGCTCACGCCGACGTTGCACGCGTCGGAGCGCGGCGTCGTTGTCACCTCCTCGTGCGGGTCGTACTCGTGGCCGTTCTCGATCTCATTCACGGTCTCCGCGGGGTGACCCGCGGAATTCTTCTTCTCAAGCAGCATGGTCTCATACTCGTGGACCACGTCCGGAATGTCGCGGAGAAGGTTGGCGCGGGCTCCCATGTTCTGGGGGATAACCGAGCCAACGTACCAAGTAGCGGTGTGCGGTCGGAACCGCGCGAGGAACGCGACTACGGACGTTTCGTTGAGCGGTCGAGCTGTGGGGATCTTCGTGGTCAACGATACGCTCCACAATCCAGCGCGCATCACCCACCGAGTCAATTATCGGTGGTGGGCCTTCACGATGATACGGCGTACGCCCTGTACGTTCAGGGCGAGGTGGAGGCAGCTTCGAACCGCGCGTTGGACGCTCAGGTTGGGGCTGAGCGGGCGGAAGATCGTGCCTGGCGGGTTGAGCAGATCGCGTCGGAGCTTCGTCAGTCGAATCGGGAGCTGTTATCTCGCCTACAGGGATTGGAGACGCATGTGCTTGGCTCTGCCCAGCAGGGAAATCGTCCGCGAGAGCGGGCGCCAGGGGCTGACGGCTTTCTGGCGCGTCAGGCTCGTCGGGCTGGTCGCCCGACGCATGCTCCGTCTGCTGGCTCGAATCAGGAATCGTCGCAGGGAAGTACCGCTTGAGTCGCCCGACGTAAAACGTCGGGCGGAGTCTAAGTGATGACGGGATGTCCAAGGTGTAGGCGTCGCCCACAGCCTTGGTTACACGAATGGGACCGATGAAGCGTGGGGCAAGTTTGTTGGCGCCGAGGTTGGTCACGGCGGAAGCGCGGAGTCCCTCGGTCGATAGGAGAACGCGATCTCCTATCTTGAATACATTCATGTTCTTTCGACCGTGCTTATCAGCTTGTTCCTTTTGCTTGTCCACTGCGCTCTGCAGTGCGT